TACTGCGCAGCCCAACAGCGCGTGCGTGATGGAGTCCATCGACGTTACCGCCCTTTATACAAACGTGTCGAATGACTCCGGAAAGCAGGCCATATTCGAACTCCTTACACAACACGAAGTAGAAATAAACATGTATGGCTTCAAGATAGAGCACCTGATGGCACTCTTAAAAGAATGCTTGGGCTGCTCAATCTTCAGATGTTCTGGAAAGTACTACGCTCAAATAAGAGGGTTGGCAATGGGACAACGACTGGCTCCAAGCTTTGCCATTGCATTTATGTCTAAGGTGGAAGCACCGGTGACTGATCTCGGGCCGCTACTCTACTGTAGGCATGTAGACGACTGCTTTGTCCTTTGCTCAACACAAGAGGAAATGGACAAATGTTTCGAATTGTTAAACGCACAGTCAGAGTATATCAAGTTCACCCGAGAAAAGCCGAAAGAAAAATGGCTTCCATTTTTGAACGTACAAATTCACCTATCAGAAAATGGCTACATTACAAAGTGGTACCGAAAGCCAAGTAGTGAAAACATCTTGCATTCTTTCTTGATAAGCTTCCACGAGGTTGATAAATATATTTATTTTCGGCTAACGTTTCGACGTCTTCGTCTTCCTCAGAGCCGATGATCCGAGTCGATGGTCCATGATTGTTGCTCGTCTCGACGTTGCACCTTCGCCTTCGTGTCGAGCCAGGTCTTCCTCAGTGATCCATTTTCTCGAATCTCGAGTCGATCTCGAGTGATCCAAAAAAAAACATCTTGGTTCATTACCTCTCCTCTCACCCCTATCACACGAAAAGGGCGCTTATAAGAAACATGTTTCGAACAGCAACCAACGTGTGCACGGGAAGAGAGCAGAGAGAGGAGTCCCGGAACTTGGCACGGCAAATAGNTAGACGACTGCTTTGTCCTTTGCTCAACACAAGAGGAAATGGACAAATGTTTCGAATTGTTAAACGCACAGTCAGAGTATATCAAGTTCACCCGAGAAAAGCCGAAAGAAAAATGGCTTCCATTTTTGAACGTACAAATTCACCTATCAGAAAATGGCTACATTACAAAGTGGTACCGAAAGCCAAGTAGTAAAAATATCTTGGTTCATTACCTCTCCTCTCACCCCTCTCACACGAAAAGGGCGCTTATAAGAAACATGTTTCGAACAGCAACCAACGTGTGCACGGGAAGAGAGCAGAGAGAGGAGTCCCGGAACTTGGCACGGCAAATAGCCATTTCTAATGACTACGAAACTGTAGCTCAGAATAGGTGTAGAGAAAATCGTAGGCCTCCAAACGACAACTCTAGCGATAGAAGGGTCCCGTTTATCCTAGCCTTCATCTCAAATGATATAAGTACAACTATAAAACGCTGCTTGAGAAGGGCGGGCTTAGAGAATTCGGTAAGCGTAGTTGAAATACCACCGAGTAATCTTAAGCGCCAGCTAGTTCGTAACCGCCTATATGACCGTCTATGTGCAACTCAAAATTGCATAGTTTACCCCAGTGGTAGAGACGGTGATTGCATGAGCTCGGGTATAGTTTATCTGATCTCCTGTAAGACGTGCGGTGACAAACACATTGGCGAAACGGGTAGACCCCTCTGTGTCCGCATAAAAGAACACCTAGCCGGCAAACATAGACCAAATACACCGCTAGGCACGGATAGGACCCAGAGACATAACGGGGACGACTTTGAAGTATGTGTCACGATCCTCGCACGCGAATCAAGAACACAGGCGCGAAAAACTCTCGAGGCACTCTGGATTAATTCCAGAAATCCGAAAATGAACCGCAGGGAAGAATGCCTCATTATCACGCGTGATATAGGGCAGTATATAAAACTGCTTTTCTGATGTGAGGGGCACATTATACTTCCACGTGATTTCTGTGCGGTTGGTCTCTACGTGACATACTTAGTGGAGACCTCATAGAAAGCGGTGAGTGTGCAAAGCTGTGTTTAATGTGATTGAAATCTTGGTTTAGAGCTTCTTTGTTTGGTTATAGAGGTGTCTGGCCCAGTGGATTGCTGTCAACTTGACCTTTCCAGGCTCTGAGGAAGGCGAAATCCGCCGAAACGTTAGCTTATTCGTGAATAAAGAATAATAACACCTCGCGTTTGCTCAACAAAAATACGAAGAATTACTTGATCAATGCCGAGGTTAATAGAAAGTCGGTCGTGGGAGTTACTGTCAGAATGTTTATTTTTTGTTCGCTGCCTACTACAAAAATGTCTTCGGAACGTATATAGTACCCTGCTTTCTACTAAGCAGCAAATAAAAGGTAAACATTGTGATTCCAAATAGCCTTATGGTTTGGTGAAAAATCTATAGCATTAATGAAGGCTTAAAGTATAAATAAACGCCAATTCATTCAAAAACTACTCACAATGTTGGTGCGAGTGGGGCCACCCGTGCGTTGTTCACGTTCGATGACGAGTGAGACCTATCAAGGTCAGAAAATCAATTTGAAATAAGGCGCCAGGTCATGTGTGATAGTGAGGCGTTCGTCTTGCCGGTTCATCCTTGGGCTTTTCAAATTTCTCCAGAACGCCTCAAGACTACGTGTTGGTGGTTTTGACTCTCGTGCTATGGCTCTGACAATCACTTTAAAATCGTCACCATTGTGCTTTTGTGCCTTATTTGTAAACAGAGGTGTGCTTTGGCGATTTTTAAGTTTTCCATCTAGATGTTCTTCTATGCGGACACAAACTGGTCTACTCGTTTCCACAATATATTCTTCAGCGCATGCCTGACATGAGATCAAGCGTATTGTAGCTGAACTCGTGCAATCCCTTCCCTTCCGTTAGAACAGATCACACAATTTTCTGGGTCGCAGAAATGGACATAGTGGCGCTTGCGAACTAGTTGACGGCGTAGGATACTCGGTGGGAAATCAGTAAGCGCCACATAACTTTCAACACCACTTTTTTTTAGGCTGCTCTTAATGACGCAACTTATGTCGTTTGATATGAAAGGTTTCTTGAAAATAGCCTTACCTAGGTTTGCAACATTGTTTTTAAAACCCTACCTTTTGATCTGATTCGATTGGATTCTACTTGGTAGCCATTAGAAATGGCTATTTGTCGTGTCAAGTTTAACGACTTTTTCCTTTTCTCTTCTCCTGTGCACGCATTTATAGCCGTCCGATATTGTTTTTGATGAGTGCTTCTTTCATGTGTGAAGGATGAGAGGAAAGGTGCGCTAGCATATTTTTACAACTTAGGCTACGACACTATTTTGTTACGTCGCCACTTTCTAAAACTTGGGTGTTTAACAATGGAAACCAGTTTTCGGTTGGTTTTTCTCGTGTGAATTTTATATACTCTAACTGTCTGTTTAACAATTCAAGCTGTCCATCTGTTCTTGGATGGAACAGACGATGAAGCAGTCGTCTCCGTATCGACACTAGAGTAAGGATCGGCGATCGAGAACTGGAACTTCCACCTTGGACATGAATACGATGGCAATGTCCCATGGCCAACCCACTAATTTGTGCAAAGTATCTTCCCCACCACATAGAGACTGAACAAATAAGACAGTTCTAAGGGGAGTAATTAATTGTTAAGTCGACAAGCCACACACATTTGTTTTGCTTTCATTTTCAACGACTAACTCGAGAATGGCTTGTATAGCAGAGTCATTTGGCACATTATTACAAAGTGAACCGGTATCACATAACTCAGTTACATGCGTGCTGTTTGGTCGCGGTGATCTAGGGATATTTTGATATTGGGCGGATAGGTTGGTATGAAGATGAGTCGTCAGCCACCGAGCAACATTAAGAACAGCAACGGCGCCGTTAACTTATACCAAACTCGAATCAGCTCCTGTAGGGCAGTTCGTATTCGTAAAAACATATATATATATATATATATATAAATATATATATATACGCCGATTATTCATGCCGAAGTTTATAAAAAGTCGAATTGTGAATAAAAGAAGTCCGGAAAAAAGTGGAATCCACTCGTCTTGCTAGATGTTGCCGAGGTTGTGTTTTCAAGTGCCTAAACCTTTCCGTCTGTTTCAGTTTGGGACGGCTTCATTCTCGACCCACGTCAGCTCATTCCTACCGGTCGCGAAACATGGGCCGGAATCAAAGTGGTGATCGAGGCTGTGTTGAATCTGAAGCAAGGTAACGTTGCGACGTTTGGGTGCTGTTTTCATTTTATGACAGCTTAAATGTTTACTCACTGACGCTTGCAAGTTGATGGTGTTGTGCTTCTGTGTAGCGTGTTTTCCTTTTTATCTTCTTTACAGTCAATGCATTCACCATTATGAATGCGCTCAGTTCGTTTCCATTGGGGGCATCGTAGCTGTTTTCTGCGGCGAAACTGCCCAGATTAAATGAAGAGCAAGCATGATAGAAAACTATCTTATCCCATTTAGGGAAGCCGTACTTAATCTACGATGAACCGTGAATAATATTAAATCTCCTGAATAGATTTTCAAAAACCGTAGCGACGAAGTGCATAGATATGTTCATCATGCAGCTATACCATGGGGTTCTGTTATTGTTATAAAGCATAAAGGATAAAGCTCTCGGCGTTTACCAATCTTTGAACGATGCGCCATGCATTAGACTTCATTAAGCATAGTTTGGAGGAGATCGAATGCATATCTGGCCTTTGCAGTGACTCGTGGTGATCTACCGATGTATCGAACCTGTGCTGCTATCCTCCCAAACAAGTCTGGTACCAATTTTACGACTCCGGAGGGATGGAAGACTTGGTGGGCCATGGGCGCGCGAATCGATTCCACTTGCGTGTTGCAGGGCGCCTCTGACCACTGCGCCACCCGCACCCTGTTATTGCTATAATTTTTAAAGTTCCTTCTTTTTTTAAAACCACGAAAAACTGCAAACTTAAGAGAGCGAAGTTTGCAGCAATTGGGTATAAAGTGAAATAACAACGGAATAAGGGAGGTATCTGGTGTGAGATGTGTTCTTTGCTTCAATGTTCCTTTGGAAGGAGGAACATGAGAACAATGCAAAATAAGCTGTTATTTGTGAACTAATCTAAAGTAACTTTTCACATGCTTTTAGATCTCTCTAGTAACTCATCCACCGTAGGAAAAGCTCAAACAGATTTGTCTTTGTTTTCATCAGATGCGATGGCGTTGAAAATGAACACTACTTGGAGCGTGATGCCAAGCACTACGAGCACCTCGAGCACAACGACCGTGTCGACGCTGACGAGAGAACCAAATGCAGCCGACTCTACAAAAGTACCTCTAGGAAGTATGCTATTCCTACCGCTTACTCACGCCACCACATCTGTTCTATCAAACCTAACATCAACTATCGCTAGCTAAAATTCTTCTTTCGCTATAGAAATAGAACCACTATGCTTTATAAATCTAGTTCGAGCAACAACCGACGTAATGCACATAGTGCAAGACAGTGACCCTCAATTCATCATGATTGAAACACAACATACTGCAGCTCGCACCTACGATAGGACCACCACACCAAACACTGCAATACCACTTCCGAATGCCCTTCCGTTCGAGCCGTCCATCAGACATGCTGAGGTTCAACCGTCACAGGTAAAATTGGTTAGTTCTGTCGAGCTTCATTACTCGAGCAAATGTATTGTGTGAAAGCACTGCTACTGTGATGACTAATTAATACGTAGCTGGTTGAAAATTTAATCAGATCGATCAACTACTAATTTGGAACTTTTAAGTGTTTGAAGCATAGGTTGGGATCGTTTGACGTTTTTTTCTGTTCTTCCAATGGGATTTATTTATGTGAAAACAACTACTGATGAGTTGTGAAATTGACAGAATTAGTTATGGAACGCTTTGAAGCTTTCCAGATAATCTTAGAGTTTTCTAGATTTTTCAATTATAGCGAAAACAGTCATTTGAAAAGCGCCCTGTGTTCGTCGTTGTATAGCCCATCTTGGCTAACCGACGCGGATCGGCTGAGTAGTGCATAGTTAAGAAATTTAGGGGTTCAGTAATTTTGATCAGATTGAAGAACAGTTGAAGAATTACTTTGCAACCAACCCACAGGTTTCTTTCAACACCGTTTTATTGAGTCACAGGCGGCACACAAATGCAGAAGCAAGTGGACACTTTACACCGGCTTACCGTACACATCTTCGAGCGCCGTCTTATGATCGGGTTTTTTGCACAGATTCGCAGCCATTTAAAATTATTTTAGGCGTTGTTTGTGGAAATTCTGATAATGACAGATATCTTGGGGCAAAATAGTGGCGATAAATCGAGCACAAGAAGGAGGACGTTTGGGCACATTCGTTTAGAACGCGAGGAGCATAGAGTAGGAAGCAAAATGAGTGGTCGTTCACCGGAACTGTAACTGACATTGTTCGTAATCAATGTGACTTTTGAAGAATTGGTAATGAGATCTAAGCACTCTCTGGGTGTGATACTTAGATGGCCCATCCTCACTGGTTGTGCGGGGCCCCACCTTAATTTCCGTTTTTTCAGAGTTCTCTTTTCTTTTTTTCTCTTTTTCTCTTTTTTCCTCTATGTTTTTTTCGGCTCCCTTATAGAAATTCTGGACACCTTCTCAACTAGGAAGAGCCCGCCTGAGCCGAATCCCTCCGCTCTACATCGCAGCCCGACACCCAGGAACACCTCCTAGCCACAATGAGGCGGTAAACCATTAGGAAAATTTGTCTGCACTAAGTTGCGGTAAATGGTGATCTGCGATTTCTATGCTTAGAGTTGAAAATGATCGTTGACGTGTTACTAAAATTCGATGGCGCCTTTAGTCAGGAGACGTCAGCGCGACTTAAAGGCCCAATCAATACCTTTTTCGATTATTAGGCTAACACTAGGCTGATTTTAAAAAGTTTATTCGTCTAACGTTTTAACGTCTTACTTAGAGCCGCTAATCTATTGCGGTGGTCCATAGCCGTTCGTCTTCTCTATGTGGCGTCTTTGTCTTTGTATAAAGTTGATTCTTCGTCAGCAGAGCACCGCTCCAATAAGGCAACCTCACTCACCTGGCAGCGGTGGATGTCTATTGGTCTAACATGAAAATAGTTAACCGTCTACATATGTCAAATTTGAAAGCAGGAGCTCTATTATATTCAGAGATCAACAACAGACAGGGATTGAAGAATACCGCACTACCACTGGTTTGTCTACCAGTAGTGTCGAGCCTCTGTTTTCTTGAGCAGATACGAGGTGATAATAGAAAATTTCTTCAACAGGGGCTAGTGCTTCGGCGATTCAGCCCTATTCAAAACCCTTTGAAATTCCAAAAGGCCGCGCTGTTCACTTAGTCTTTTAATAACCCCTACAGAAAGAAGAAACTTAAAAACTAAACTTAAATCACATGGTAGGCAACCTCTTTTAAACCCTCACCGTTTTGTTCCTTGTTAGTTTTCCACTTATTCAACATTAACCATCCGCAGCGAGCTTTACATGGATGAGGAATGTGCATGGTTCAGATCGGAAAATCAGTTGATGCAGTTTAGAGCAAAAACATTAGGGCAAATTATGCAAGTTTGCATGGTGCCTAGATGGTCATACAAACGGTAACGGTCTGGCTGGCATCACAGAGCGCCTCCATGGTATTTCAGTCACTGTTGTCCATGTCCTTTCCAACGGTTTACTGCCTGATTGTGGCTGGGAGGTGTTCCTGTGTGTCGGACAGCGATGTACAGCGGGGATTCATCCCCTGGCATGGTCTCCCAGGTTGGGAAGGAGTCCGGCGTCTCCATCAGGAAGCCTAGCTAAGAGTGAACCAATGCCAGGACCCACCACCGTCCTAGTATGTCAAATTAGTCGCATGGTGGCGAATCTCTCTCTGATCCACAAGGGATGCCTGTGATGGTGAAGACCTGGGCAGCCTTTGGCCAAGCTGACCTCGGGATTCCAGGGAACCACAATGGCTTAACTAGCAAATCGCCGAAAAATGGAGATTACGTTAGGGTCCGCACAACCAGTTAGGACGGGTCGTTCAAGTGTCAAGTGCCAAGTTATCGATTTCTCCAGACCAGTCCTTTTTAAGCAACGTTTTATACGTGCACCCATTAAGTTGGAAATGAATAGCAGGATAAACGGCACGTTATTCTCGCTACAACTATCGTTTAGAGGCGTGGCTTAGAAAAGCGGGTGTTTAAAACAAGCTGTTCCTCCTGTGATTGAAATTTGGGTAGTAACGTCTTTCTGCTGAGCTTATGAGAGTGTCTGATTCGCTAGATTTCCTGTTAAGTTCATTTTTCCAAGCCCTGAAGGAGACAACATCGCGAAACGTCAGCCAGTATTTAATGAATCCTACTGCTGACAACCTCATGTCTGATCAAGAACAAAATAATGAATCGTTGATCAATGCCGATGTTAAGGGAAAGTCGGTCCTGGGAATTACTATCGGGTCGGGTGTCATCATCACAGTGCTGTATACGCATGACAATTTTGTGTAATTCTACCGTTCAGCAGCTTCCTCCATCGTCTGATGGGCAGAATTTAACCACTAAACGTCATCGTCAGAAGCAAGCGAGAATCAGCAGACGACAGTTACTAACAACTCTGAAAAAACGAAAAAGTAAGCGTGTTCCACTTAGAACTCAGGGAAGAAACGGTATTCTAGTAATTCGCATCCCAAGAAAATGAGCAGAAATGCTAGCGACTTAACTCTATGTTCAGGGATCATCATTGATGGGTCGATTCGTAACCTCCGAACGAAGCAGTCAGAATTCTCTGCTTGGAAGTCAAAAGGGATGAAGCTTAGTTCACTACGAAAAATGAAAGGCTGTCATGTTTTTTGTCAGATGGAAACGGAATCTCCTCACATTGTTACAGCTTCTTTCTCACATGCAGAAAAATGAGCTGAAGTTTCACTTCTGTAGAAAAAAGATGGCTGGAGCGATCCGTTGTACTCCGCTGAATTTCTCGATTTCAGGAGTTAACATGAACTACACAGCTCGTCGCCTGCGCGCCTTGCCGTTCCACAGCCCACCACTGGGAAACAAGGCAGGAAATCCAACCATGGTTAAGCATTTTATCGCTGTTTCTTCCACTTTTTTCGTATTTCTACAGCCTCCTTTCCTCATACCAGTTCCAAACATTATTTTTAAAAGTGAGAAGTCGAGCTGAGATTCTTTTGTCATAGCAGCCTCGAATTTAATCACTAGGGTTTTAATGTCTCGGTGAAGACGACATATGTCAGCCGGCAGTTGGCAAGATGAGAGCACAGGTGAAGATGGACACTTCGAAATTCAGGCTTGTTCTGTTTATTAGGGCTTTTAATAGAATATTATCCAATACCATTTTATCCTTGTGTTAAGTTACTATGGAATTTATATCTGGTTCGTAATTCCACTTTTCTTGTATATGTTTTAGCAGCCTCGGATCTCCCTGATAGAGAGATCTCATTCCGGTTAGTCGCGAGGTGGCATGTTGTGGCTAGAGGTGGCAGATAGTGATTACTCGTGAACAAAAGCGACCTTATGCTTTCCTGAAACGAAGTTGAATTCAGGGAATGGACTCCCTCTTTCTGATGTGCAACTTTGGCATATATCTTCTCTATCTACGAAGACGTATTCATGCATGCGTGCGTGGATGTGTTCTCGTTTGTGCTGGTTGTATTCTACGAGAGTGAGTTCGGCTAAAAGCCTGCAATCGAGTAAAGGGGAAATATATAAGAAGCGGTTAGGAGTCGCCTCCTACACATAAGCTCCCCATCTACTCTGGTAGAACCTGGTAAGCTACCCGTGAGTACACCCAGCCCCACGTTCCAAGCCTAGCAAGCTGTACGTGCGAATCAAAAAGCTAAGCAGAGTAAAATAAACGGGCTTCATCCTGCTGACCCCAAAAGAACTATTGATACGGCAGCGTTGGGTAGGACGAGTGTGGAAAGGCTGCTAAAATCTCAGAGTCGTTGCACGCTACTTAAATCGCGAAGGACTTTAGTGCCGGTCTTTACCTACAATGCACGCACACTTGGATCTGAGTACTCGATACAAAACTGATCATGCAGACAAAAAAGACAAAGTATGACGTCTTCGGACTGGTTGAAAAGAACACACCAGCCCTTTAACGCCGTCTGTGACACCGGAGAATAAAATGTTAACATGCGACAGTAGAGAGGTTGGCGACGTCGGTGTTATTCTCAACACAACTTTGGCCATAAACATTGATTCATTTGAACAACTAAGACAAGAACCGGACACTTACGGTTGAAGAGGTGTCATGAACAACAAGAATCGGGCATTTACGGTTGAAGGGGTGTCGATCAATACTGGTTTTCACAATCTTCGTCGTCAACGCACCGACATAAAACTATCGAAGAAGAAGTCGAAGCGTTGTAGTGGACTTGGAGAAATTCTACGGAGAGAACACTAAATTCTTTAAGATCATAATCGAAGACTTCAGCACTATGGACCCAGAAGAACGTCTGAAGAGCGTTGTATTGGAGTCCACGCTGGGATTAGAAAAAAGTAGAAAAGCAACAAGCAAGGTGAGCGGCTGTCTGAGTCTGTCATGACGACCAAGACCATTCATGCTCGCTCGCAATTCCAGACGCCCCACATTAAACGTTGGAGGTAGGAGTCCCCCAGTAGAGAGTAGGCTAAGGAAATAGGACCGCATAATAGTAAATCGAAGGTTTTTCCTAACCTATGTCGTTTTTTCTCAGAACTCTTCATGGGATCAGACCGTCGGCTCTTTCGTGCAAGATTTCACTTTTCGCGCGTAGACCAAGGCCGCTAAATTCGAAAAGCGAGTTCCCAAAACCACCATAAACTGTGGTTTACTCAGTTCATTATTTGACCATTGTGGAGATGCCGTTCTTGTTAACACCGACGATTAATACGATCGGCCCACTAAACAGCTTCACGTTAGCGCACCAAACCTTAGAGTTTGAAAGTCACCAAGAGACGTTTGCCTCCAGGAGGCTGGGAAAAGCACTCGCGTAGCCCACCGAAACTTCGTAAATGACAGAACCAAAATGATTGCACTCCGACGTCCAGTTTGAACAGTCACAGCTTCCAGAAAGGCAATGGAGAAATTTTTTTATTTATTTATTTTCATTTTATTTTATTTGATCTGTGTTCACGTCTACTGTGCGGATCTCAAAACTCCTCACATCCAATTTGTTTCCTCGCATCCATCGTCCACGAAGGTCTTCCAAGTTCTTATGCGTGGCTTTGGTTGCTGCTTGATGATTTTCATTTCATCTTGAATGTCGTAGAATGCTGGTCGAGCAATTCTTCCTGGAGTACTGAGATAGCCGGGCTGGAGCGTTGGATTGAAGAGAGTGATTTTTTCCCAGAGAGGTACCAATCTCCCAACCCCGGAAAGATGAGAGGCTTGGTTGCTCCGGGCGGAATCGAACTAATACCACGT